ATAATTGGTTATTAATATGTCTAGAAGATGCAAGCAAAAAAGTCATAAAGTTATTAACCCAAAAGCTTGAACCCCAGTGCCCTGGTAGTTTTAGATCTTTTAACAAAACATGTGTTATTTTTTCGCTGATGCTTTTCCTGAATATCAGTAGCATTATTTTCTTCTGGGAATATAATTATTGATCTTGGACTCTTAACAAGTTTTTGAATAGTTGCCTTTGGATTCTCATCAATGATAGTAACCACTGTTTCTGTATATTAAAATAATTTTCTGACTCGTTCTTTAGTTGTTTCCATGTTATTAAAAAAAAGGTATTAGATAGTATTTTTAAAAAATGAATTGATACCACTTTTACTAGAGTCAATATAAAGAGCATTGTTATATTTTACTATACGCATTTCATCATTAGCTGGTCTTCTTGAATCGTGGAAGTAACCAAATTCATATAGATGGCCCATCATTCGTGATTCGTGGTCAGTTTCTGTTCGATTAGTAAGATCCTAACAATACTAGAGATTACATATTTTTGATTTTCATTCTCCCCATCCGGGGTAACTCGATTAGTGATCGTATAAGTATAGGTGTATTATCACTCTTAATGACTTTATATTGTACCCATAATTCAACATTCACTGGTGGTTTTGTTCCTTCTGGTTTTAAGTTTAGTAAAGAGTTAAGAAAAGCATATTTTTTTTAATTCTCCTTCGGTGGCGGGTCTATTATCCATTATGAAAGTTAACAATAATGATAATTATACCCAGTACAACTCGGGTCCCTTATATATTTACATTAATAGTATATGTAACCTCAAAATATTTATTAATAGATATCAATTGATTTTATACTTATCATTAATTTAATCATAGAATAGCAAACTGATAAAGAACAAATAGTTAACACTACTATGGTTAAAAAAAATAATATGAACTGGGATAAAGCAGATCATGAAAGTGGTCTTGGTGTATTAAGTGATTTTTTATTTGGAATTCATCGTAAAGAAGATAAGGATAGGTTCATGGATATCGAATTTAAAGATAGTTTTAAAGATAAAGAAATCAAGATCTTTATGAAAGTACTAAAAAAGATAGTCGAACATAGAGAAAGTAAAAAGAATGAATATCAAAATATCAAGTCTATATCCTTCTGTTCCGGTTTGACACATCTTAATAAATAC